AACGCGAAGGTTATACCGCAAAATTATCCGAGTGGTGCGGATATATCTCGGTAGTTCGGCGTTCACCCACAATCGAGTAGATTTCGTTTGTACGGCGCCTCATTCTTCATTTGATCCTCTGCCTTTGCCCATGCAACGATACCCCCCCCCCCGAAGCGCGGATGGGCTGTTCACTCGAGCCGGTGTGGTCAAAGCCGGGGCAGGGGGATCAGTTAGTGCCGCCCCGTCCAATTACAACAACGACAACGGCAAATGTGTTTCTGCTGCTAGACGGTGTAGTACCAAGCGGATACACGTGGAAATAAATCGCGTCTTGGGAGAAGTGGCGTCCTACAGGGAGTTCAAGAATGCTCTGTGGGAGTGTGTGCGGGGCAGCGAAAGAGGTGAGCACAACGACTTCGGAGGCGATATCTTTGACAGTTGATTGGTGTTGTAGAGTGAGCCAATATCGAAGACGACCTGCGTGTCTCAGACAGATATCAGCGGCTACCTAGGGTGGGGGGCCTCCCTAAGGACGGCGACAGAAGCAGAAGGGCCCTACCTAGAGAAGATCAACACAAAATATCGCCTCTGGCGCAGCGTCAACCCCCGGGCAATGTCGCCGTCCTTGAAACGTCGAGTACGAATTGTTCAGACGGTCTTTTTTCTTGCGGTGCAATGGCGCCTTTGGCGAGTCAGGCCAGGTAACAATAATGTTCGATTTCGTTTTTCTTGCGCGGCCGGTGTGAATTTTGCAACTGCTCGTCGTGATGCGTCGTGATGGGTGGCTGTTAGGCGACGGTGCGGGCGGTTCGGGGATGGAGTGGATCACGGTAGATCAGCTCGACCACTCCCTGAGGACCTGCCATCTCACACGGAGAGCCCTCGATCCCCAGGTAATTGTGAGCACCAACCCTGCTGTCCTCCGTGAAAATTGTCAGTTAATCGCATCTACGGTTGCCGCAGCTGAAGCGACTCGAAGAGATTGACACTGTCCACCAACCATTGTGTGTGTTGTACGTGTCCTCACGCCCTCCAAGAAAAATACAGGAAACCAATTTGACGCTTACGTCAGGTATTCTTCATGTTCAACCCAAGAACAGTGTCTTCGTACTATGAGCCAGATTGGGTCGATAGGAGTATCTTCTCCTCTCATTTTCAGTCGAATACTGGTCCAGTTCCTTGCTTCGATCCGTTTCACAACGACTCGGGGAAATCATCCCCGCACGAATCTGGAAAGACTGCGGAATTTTCAACCGAAGTAGTCAACAATAGGTTAGGTCGTGCGTCCCGTAATCGAAGCGTAACTTCAACACCATGCAGGGAGTGACGCACGACCCTCCCTCCTACGGCCATGCACAATAAAAGGGGGCGTCCCATCCACCCCTGACGGGGAAAAGGGTTGCTCGTTTCTTGGAGGGTATGGAGCGTTCCTCGGAGAGGGAGCCACTGCCCGCATCAGCAGCGTTGGTGGCCCCGAGTGCCGCTGGAACCTCTTCAAACGCCGTAAACATGCTTCTAGGAAAGAGGAGCTCCAACAGACAGGCGATCGGGGTCCCGAGAAGAAGTGAGCGAACGATTGTTAGAGAAGTCGAACGAGTGTTGCGGTCTTTGTGCTAGATTGGCGAGGCTGTTTAGAGCCGGTTAAATAGGGCCGGGGCCGCCGGTTGATTCGACTGGCACAGATTGAATCACCAAGTCATTCGGTACCCTGAATAGCACTAGTGTCCGGTGTACTGCCGCTCAATTCTCTGGGCACACCGGAACTAGACAGGGACCCCATAACACATAGATTCGAATGGACTCGGCTAGTGCACACGTCCAGAAACGACTCACATGAACGATCATGCCAGCATCTTTGCGGAACTCCCGCTTTGCGCGGGCAACGGCCACGCCCGGGAGGCAGGATCATTCCTCGACTGTCCTTGTAGCCCATGTTCTGCAACGCAGCCGCCAGTTCGCGCTCCCACAACGCGCTCGCTTGCGGTTGCTGGGACCCATCCATCTGTGGACCTTTGATGGCGTGCCCGCCCATCCCGAATACCTCATCGCTAAACGTCACCGAATTAGCCTTTGAATCAATTCGTTACCCCGGACTTGTCAAAGCAGGCAATAGAGGCAGGTCTGGTGCCGCTTCTGTGCGGTCACGGGGACGGGGTCGGAGGGCCAAGATGGCGCGGAAGCGGGTTGGGAAGTGGAACGACGAGGACCGGGACTTGGCAGAGCTCGAGATGGCTGGACTGATCATCCAAGAGCAGCAGGTGGTTGATAACGCTGGGTGCTGTTGTAGCTCTTCAAATTGAGTCTAGCTTCCCCCCCGTGGCCTTCAACCGGCATTGTGACTCGCGTGTCCCAAGAAAAATGTTGACGGCATCCACAACCCGAATCACACCCGGAAACTCAAACCCGGCAGTTCACCGTGCGAAAATATCCTAGACCACCTCCGTTTCCGCTTCTCAAGTCTCACGCCGCGTGCCCCGAACGTTCCAGGAGTTCGTGGAAGGCTACGTGCAAGAGCGGAGACGCTACCTCAGTCGCCGGGTTTCGGCTCAACGGGACGGTCACGGAGGGTTCCAACGCGAGGAGGTGCCAACCGGACCTGGTGGAAGGTGGTCGAAAAAGGCCATGGAAGCAAAAAAAGCGGAATTCAGCGTGAGTTTTTCGGCGCGGGCTCGATAGACTCGGTGGCGCAAAGCGCCTCAAGTGGGCGGTTAGAAACGTCACGGATGCAATGAAGGCGTGCGAAGACGCAACAAGTTTCGTACGCTTGAGAGGACGGCTTTCCCTCCCGTCGCGACATTGGGTCTGTCACGTTTACCCCGTTGTTTGATGTCGACCCCACCCGATTCCGTGCAGGCTACATAGCCTATCGTAATCTCTATTCACTGGCTTCATCACCAGAAAAACATGAAGCTGCCCGACGCCCAAGAAGCAAGTTGCCTACGATCTGCCGTATCTCACCGAAAAGCACTACCACGTGCTCTCCTCCGGCGCCGAAACCGCTGCAACTTTCTCCAAAATTGTTGCAGGAGGCAGTCAACCGTACGAAAGTAGTGCTCAAGCTCCTGGAGGCAAAGACCGCCGCCTCGAGTCTACCCCAGCCCAGCGGCGGCGATGGAGATGCTGCCGGAGGTACGGCCGGCGCCGTGGGCAGGAACCCTAGCGGGGACTCCCCAGGCGTTCGCGGCGACGGATCACACCGTCGCCGAGACCCCCAACACTCTCCACCCAAGGCTAACAACGATCGAAGAATAAAAAGTAAAGCTTGCGTCAGTGATGACAAGCGTGAAACGTGGGACATGAAGAAGGTTCTACGGACGGCCACAGAGGCGTACAGCGACCGGGTCGGCAAGCAGGGGGGGGGAGCGACAAGGATCAACGCGAACAGACAATCCGGGGCCGGCTGTGGGGCAACGGCGGTAGGAAGAGGCGGAGAGAGAGCCAGGATGTCTGCCGCCGCGCAAACGGTCCAGGTAGCGTTTCGGCAACGAATGTTCCACCGGTTCGTCTGGGCGCAGGCCTATCTGCGCGGCCCCACGCACGCATACGAGGTCTTCAAGCGTTGCCTTCCCATGCCACGCGGCGGCGGCGGCGGAAATTTCGCAAGCGCCGCCACGCCGCACCACCCCCCTCCTCTTCGACCTGCTGCGCTCGCTGACGTGGCCTCAGCCGCGGTCAACCTCGTCGACGCGTGGCCAGAGCTCCCGGGATTTTGCCCGTCCTTCCCTCACCACGTCCATGCTGCGGACCCGATCTTTCTCCGATACCTTCGTTCTTGCACTCCTAAGAGTTATGATATCTCCTTCTCCAGCGCTACTACTACGACGCAGGAGGAAGGAACCGAAACGGGGAAGACTCCACCAACGGCGTCGGCGTCAACCGGGGCTGGGGTATCTTCTCCTGGTCGTCCTCCGCAGCAGACGCAGCAGCAGCAGCAAAACCAGGAGTTTGCTGAGGCTTTCGAGCGAAAATACCACATCCGCACGGCCGCTGTCCGCGGCATGTACGTCGACCTTCGGGTTCCGTTCCTCCCGGGCGCCCTCGACGCCGCCTTGGAAGACTTGGAGCAGACCATTGCGCGGGACAGCGCCCCTCCGGTTGAGGGGGGTGCCAAGAATCGTCGTCGCCAAGTGGACACCGTTAGCAGCGGCGTACGGCTTGCTTCGCCACTCCGTGGTAGCGGTGGTGGTACAGCGGGTGGCAAGGGCAGGGTAGGACAGAATCCCCACGGGGGCAGGTTGAGCTTTGCAAAGTGGTACCCGTGGTGGATTCGGCACCTTCCGTTCGATCCTGCTTCGACCGGATGCCTGCTGAAAACAGTGCGTTGCGCTAAAGCGTTGCACGCCTCAGAAATCGCTAATCACAATGCTGCAAGACAGCTCTTGGATAGCGATAAAACCCTTTAGACCGACGCCCTTTATCTAGGACAGTGAGTTGTGATACCATGAGGGACCTATTGACTTGGGTCAATGCATGTAGGAACTTGCATTCTAGTTCGCGTGGGTCATCCGAGGCATTCGCGTGCGTTGTGAGTCTGGAGTAGTGTGGATTTTCCAGTAAGCTTTCCCCAGCTAACAATGAAAAGCGCATATGAACAGCGTGGAAATCTGCTGCGCAATATAGCGCACGTTGTGTCGATAGGTTGAAGACTATACGTCACGCGAATGTATGTCTCTGCGCATTTGTGGTCATGTAATGGTGGCATTCAATGTGATTAGATCTGGTTTGGAACCGAGCTAAAGACGCGACATACGTGAGAAGCAGCGGTCAGGGACCCTGGATATCCAAAGCAACGCGATGTCTACCGAAGTACCCACGGCGTTGGTCAAGCCCAAAGGTTTTATACATCATCGTGCAGTAACTCAACGCGGCGAGGATATAATCATTCTTAACGCTATATCCTCCCAAAATACAGTACATGAAATAGGTTCAACGAGACAGGTGAACATACGTACGTAAGATCTGTGTCCTCTGTAGAGTGACCAGAGAGTGAAGATGTCCGCTCCACCTTTACGGGCTACAATAGTCCTTGTTCAACGAAAAGCAACAAGCGGGCTGTAGACAAGCATCCGAAAACTGTTTGTACAGATATCACGGAGAACAACTCGCCGTTCAAAACACAGCAGCGCGGGCGAAAACGTGTTGAACAATGGCCTTGCTGTCAGCTCCGTTCTCTCTTGCGACAACACAATGCCCAGGCCTCGTCACACACCGAAGGAACCCTGTTCACGACCGGGGTGGTTGTGTGACCGTTTTGTTGCCATGTCACTTCCTAACGCGTCGCTCATTACCGCTATCCGGGACACTCTTGCCTTGCCTCCCTAAGTGAAGAACTCCGACCCAGGGTTTGGCCGTCACTTCTACCCCGGAGCCACGGCAAAGTTGTGAAGACCCATCACTCCATTTTTCACAGCCTAGGAATGGAGTCTACTGCCGAGATTACGTCTCGTCCAATGTAACCCTTACGTCCGTCCCGCCAAGCTTCACAAAAGATAGGCGCACTTCCGGGTGCGTCCTGGCGTGCTTTCTGCGCCAAATCTCCACGCACGCAGCAACGCCTGGTGGTGCTCCTGAGATAACCTACCCAAAACCTCTACCAAACTTTGCGGAACAGAATGAAGGCCGGTGTTCCTGCTGCCGCGGTCCGCCGTTTTGGCGCTCGTCCTTTCCTGCCCGTCGCTTGTCCCATGTTTTTCTTGAAGGACCGCGTATCCAGTGCGCGAATCAGAGGCGCCCCGAATTTCTTCGTTCACCACTGCTCCTGCCGCTTCGACAGCTTGGTGAGGCCGCTGTGACTTTTCGGGTGGTCGACGCCCGTTTCCTTGGTATTTCTCCGTCGAGCAAGTACGCAGTGTCGGCGCTGCCGTGCGCTTCTTCCCTGCCAAGTGTCCTCCACGCCCCTCCAACGTCCCAAGTTCCTCCGAGGATGCCCCCAAAACCGGCGTCGAAACGGAACAATAAGAGGCATCCTGGCTGGTTGCAGCAACAGGGTATGCTGCTTCCGCGACATAGTATGCCCCAGCCGATCGCAGGACCTCGGAGGCGCTGTGTAGTGCTCCGAACAGACGCCTTTCGCTTATTTTGGTTTCGTCGGTGTCGGTGGTGCGCCGGCCTCCTGCTCCATCATCTTGTTCATCGTCGTCCCAGTCATCCCAGTTGCCACCGCTACCGCTACTATCGCCGTCGTCGCCATCACCACCACCAACATCGGAACCAACACCACCATCACCGTCAATTCGCTCATCACCAACAACGCCATCAACAACAACATGAACCCCGCCACTGCACCGAACACTTTCAACACCGCCTTCACGAACGTACGGCTGGTTCTGGTGCTGGTGCTTTGCCACCTCTACCGCCTCGTGCTCCGGATACCATCGCAAGAGGTGCTCAGCGACTGACCGAAGAACTGACGCCACCATTTCGCTACGTTTTTCCATCTCGATGGGCGTAGCATAGGCCGCACGGTCGCGCAATGGGTCAGAGCCGCCAACGAAACAGTTCTTGGTATCGGCATGCGTCGGGGACCGGGGGGCGCGGAGATCCTGTACCAGGACGATGAGGAGATTGATGACATCTCGGGCGACAACGCATGTCTGCGGGAAGAGGCCTTTCGCGGCCATGCCCTTGCTGTCGTCAGAAGTCAGCATACCCGTCAAGGTTTGCACCACGGCGCCCGCAACTTGGTCAACGCCCCCTAACACCTCCGGCGCTACCGCATCGTTGTCGCACATCTCGAAGTTCTCCTCCTCCTCTGCTTCTTGCCTTTGTTGCTCGGGCCCCGGTCGTTGTTCCTCATGTTCTTGCTGCTTCGCGTGTCCCACCTGTCTTTTCCTGAGAGCAAGTGCGCTCTTTTTCAAAGCGATACTCATGGCCGACAAGAGATGAGTGTGGGCCTCCAGGAGGCTGACCGAGATCCATCGGACGTTGTGGTCGCTCGCCTGCGGCATCGAAAGTGAAATGGGCATCACGGTGGCAAAATTGGAAACAGGCAGGATCACTTAATGGAGTTTCGGTGGGGGTCGAGGTCCGGATGGACTACATAGTGCTGCCGCACAAGAACGAGTGCGCGCTCCGGTCTACCACCTGTTTCATTGGAAATCGGGCTACCCAGGTTGAAACGTACGTCTTCGACTCCCCGTAGTCGTGAACAGGAGGACAATATTCGCTCGGTGAAAGGAAGTTAGTTGGCTGCACACAACGTCAAAGCCAACGGAAAAATGGCGGCCCGGTGGCACCCCCTGTGCCATCGCATGGTTTGACGCCCGGAGAACATACGCGATGTTCAAGGCTATCGACATGACGGGCGAGGGGCGCGGCCTGCATGTGCTCTCGGTCTTCGTACACTATTTGACCGGCATACATCAAAGCTAAAACACACTTTCGTTGCTCCAGATGGGCTTTCCCCACCTCTAGCCAGCGAAGGAGGCTCGGTATGATACCAATACACCTGTGCAGGGGGAGGCCACAGACGTAGCCGGGGACGGCACGCACAACGCGTGCACTCAGTAGGCGATCCAATCGTCCAGCCCGCCTGTGGCTGTGATGGTCCTGCAGCTGGTCTGCTCCGAACATGTCACCGCCGCTGGCCCCGCCCCTTTTCTCTGCAAACGCCGTCGGTGAGTGCAGAAGGGATAGCGATCCCCAGCTGAAAGGGATCACGAACGACGTCGTCGTTGCCTCCACCGGCATCGCTGACGACGACGCTTTGCCCTCGCTCCCTGCCGCCGTCGGGAACGCCTCGTGGTGCAGCAACTCCAGCTGCTGTTGAACCAGCCAGAAGGGGGATGGGTCGTCGTCACGGCACCCGCCACTTCCGCCCCTAGCTGCGTTATAATTCACCTGCCAGTCAGGTTTTGTGGCTGCCGTCGAATAAGCTTTTGTTCCTCCAGCTGACGGCGGTAGTACCCCGGAGCAGGCCCCATCAGCAAGGACGGATGACGATGGCGACGACAGTGACGAAAGGGCCGACGGCTCTTCCGCGAAGCCTCTTTCGTCGCCAGAAGTCCGAGAGGTACCATCACCCTCTTCTCGTGACGTTGGAGTTTTGGAGCAATGCGGACGGAAAATTGTGGTAGCTAGAAACGATTCCATCAGTAGGAGTGCCTCAATTCCTCCAGTCCAGACGTACTGTTGGCGATAGTGTTGCTCGAGTGCCGTTGTTCTTGCGGAAGGGCTGGAGGCTGTAGCGACAGCGTGAGGAGAAGTGAGACAATCACCGCCCGACATGAACGTCTTAGCTGTGACAGCCTCGCAGTCTTGCGTACTCTCGCAGATTGTCTTCCGAACACCTTTCGGCAACACCTCGCCTTCTGCTGAGAAGGTGGTGAGCGCTCGGGCAAGGAGCGGCGAGGCGTCTCGAGCCAAAGATAAGGCGTCCAAAACAATCTGCGCTAAGATAGATTCCGACGCTTTTGGACTCCTCCCTCCCGGCTTTACTTCGGCCGTGGCTGCTTCCGAATCGGCCCCCACAGCGGTGTTTCCAATCGCCGCCTTGGCGTCCTCGGCAACCTTCCCGTTATAAGTGGCAGACAACTCCCTAACCAGAGCCGGCGCAAGTCCGCCCGAAGTATCGGCGATGCCGTCGGTGCTGCCTCCCCATCGCTCTCTGGTCACGATCGAGATACCGTTCGTCACGTGATGTTCATTCGCACCATCATCATGGCCACGATCTGTGCTTAGCTCTGCCAGGTGCCGGGCGTGCCTGACAGCCGCCCTCAGGATCTCGCATGCAACGGATAGGCATGTTCTGCGACGGAGCAAGGGAAGGCACCCTCGTGATAGTGGTTCGAGCGGTGTTTCCCCCTTCATGATAACGCCTGCGGCCGAGGTTGACTCAGTATCGACCTCAGCCCCAGCCCTCATTCGATTTACGGTCGGGGAAGCGCGTTCACAGGCCCTGATTGCAATTGAACGGGAACCGCCATCATATGCGAAGAGGTGAGAGATGTCCGGACATCATGCAATGCAAATAAGAGAAACTCATACCAACTCGAGAGGATGATTGTTCCTTTGAAACAAAGCTGAACCATGCACAAAGATTACCTATTGTCGCCGGCGCTGTTGTGTTTTTGTCCTGTCTTCAAATGGGAAACGCTCATAGTAGAATTTGTCCAGGCAGAGTCCAGACAAATTTGAATTCG